AATGCATACCAACTTAGGAAAAACATTAGAAACATTTGAAGGTAAGAAATATGTGTCTTAGAAAAAATGTAGTATATCTCTGGAATTACTACTGATCTTTGTTTTATTTTTATGCTTTTTTGAGTTCTGCAAATCTCTAACAGTGTATGCAGTTGGGTTAGGGAATGCCTGGACCCACGTCTGATATTTCCTGCCAGGTGAAGTGGGCACCACACTGGTTTCTCCCTGCCCCTCACCCTCTCTACCCGATCTGAAGGAGCCACCGGATTGGTGAGTTTAGAAGACATACTGGACTTGGCAGCCCTGCCACTCCCTTTCCTCCAGGGAGCCCACCTACCAGCCAAGTCCACATCTTCTAGATCACCCCAGCTCAGGGGAGGAGGGTTGAAGGGCTGTTGTTCAGGGGGTTCAGTTTAGTTCTGGGGTTCAATATTAGGAAGCCCACATGCCTGCAGATATAAGGCCCCTTCTCCAATACCAACTTTACCAGAGAACTGGTCAGATTTGGTTTGCCAAGTGCCTACTTTTTTTGTCTTCTCAGTTTAAAACCCAAGCATGGAAGAGGGATACTATATTGGACTCTCAAAACTACCAAAAAATGGGTTGAATTTTCTAGTCAGAAAAAAATAGTTGTATAAAGAAGAAATCTAATCAAGCATAGTGAAGCCCCCTGAGAATGATGCTCCCCACTGAGTTCTGCCCAGTCTCTGCAGAGAGGAGAGGGGCCAGGGCATTCAGACAGGTCTCTCTGAAGACCAGGGAGCAAGCAGGAACCCCAGGTCAGAGATTCCCTCTCTCTCCTCTCTGTGCTTCAGCATTTCAGTTACAAACTTCCACTGAGAGAAGAATCTGCTTTTCCTCTCCTTGCAGCATCTCTTGGTTGCTAAGCAGATCCCCTGGGTAACTATGTGGGCATAAAACCTTGCAGAACTGCCAGGAACCTGCTTCATCCAATTGTCAAAGTGAAAAATGAAATCATTCCTCTCACCTGTCACTACTTTGCACAAAGCTTCCATTATTGAATGGTGATGGCCCAGAATGTTATTCTCACCTACCTGTGGGAATATAAATGAGTTTTGCAAATTTTACCCCCATGAGAGTGGGAGGGGAGGAAGTGGGTGTTGGGATCTCTCAAACTGATACTCTTGTGAGTCAATGACTGGAAAGAAGCAGGTGGAACAAACCAGCAGCTTTCTGTGCCCTTGGAAAAATGGTGCATCAGCCAGGTAAAGACTCACCTTATTAAAGTAGGCTCACAGATGTCCAGAAACACCTGTGATGCCAGACCTACCGAATCAGAATCAGAATCTCTAAGGGTGAGGCCAAGAAATGTACATTTTAAAGAGACTCCTAGATGATTCTTCTGTGCACTATGTGCTTTGAAGTTTGAAACCAGTGGTATTTCTAACACAGATATATAAATAAATAATGCATTTAGATATTATAGGTTTTAGGCTGTATGTATATCTAGGAGGGAGGGGACACTATTAAAGGATGGTCACTTTTAACTGGGAGAGTAAGGAAGTGTCGCTTTGAACTTTGAGCAGTGAGCAGATGTTCTCCAGGTAGAGGAGGAAGGAAAGTAGGACATCCTAGGTGGGAGAGCTGTTAGCCAAGATACAGCCATCTGAAGCTGGCCTGATGAGCTAAAAGTAATAGAAGATCACTAAAGCTTGTGTGTATGGTGTTAGGATGGGAACCATGGGTGAAGAGGGGATGAGGGACGGAGGATCTAGAAGTTAAGGAGCTAAGAATCTAACTTGTGGTTAGTGAGTGATATGATTAGATTTGCATTTTTAAAAAAGTCACTCTGAGGACTTCTGCAAAAGATGGATTGCAAGGAGGCCAGACAGGAGGCAAGAAGATTAACTGGAGGCTGTTCTAGCAGCCCAAGCTGGGCCCAGGTGACGTGTGAGGGTAGCATGGTGAAGACCCTCGTCTTCCTTGGCCCTAATCCACTGGGGTATGCAGCACTGAACTCGATACCACAACTGCTCAGATATCACACCTATTTATGAAAATAATGAAAATGAATGGAGCTATTCATGAAGCACCAAATATGATGATAATGATTCTTTCCAAAACTTAACAAAATTTAAAACAGTCTCATGAAACTAGCTATAGCTCTTGGGCAAATCAATTAATTTGGTGCTTCTCAAAGAGGGGTGTATAATGGTGCTCAGTGTCACAAAGAGCCGTAAGATAAGAAGGGTGTATCTTTCAAGAAAATATGATTTCTTTGAATATTGGGGAGCATTATTTTTTATAAGCTCAAATGCAAGCATATCAGACAATGGCAGACCAGTCTGGACTCTGATGGCTCGTCCTGGGCTGTTGGCCCATCTGTGAAATACAGGGCTTGGTTTTTGTGACCTCTAAGTTCTTTTCATACTCCAATATACAATGGCTTTTTTTCTAACTAGTTAACATCCTCATATTTTCCCTCTAGATTTTAGAGAGATGTCATTCTTTATATTTCTGTAAGGTCACCCTCCTTAGTTCACATTCCTGCAGTTGGCAGCTTTTCACCCAGCTCTCTGACCCTTTGAAGCCCAAGGTGGCCCCCACCCTCAATGGCTCCCGCCTGGCAGTCCTGCACAGGCAGCGCTCTCTTCTGCTCCCACACCATCTGTCTTCTCTAGAGTTTGTCACCTTCCTCATCTCTAATTTAAAAAAAGGAAGAGTGGGAGAGCAATAGAGACAGAGAAGTCCTTTTTTCTGAGAAGGGAGGAATCCTCCTCCATCTGACTTTTCCCTCAGTTACTGCTGGTTTGACATTCTTTCCCCTTGCTTCTGAGATGTCCCTCCCAAACTCTCATTTGAGGTTTAATTATTTTGCATTCAATGACTTTCCAGCTTTTGATTTAACATTTAACAACTTTGCCTGTCAGCCTCCCTTCCTCTTCCTCCAAATTTCTATAAGAGAGCTGAAATGAGTTTACCCCACTTGAAGTCATAACATCGCTTAGGGTGGAATTTTGCTGAAACAAAAATTTGACTGGTTTCAGCATGGGATCTAAGCCTGATGTTGCTGAGTGAGTCCATCATCTGCATTTTCCCAAACTTTTTACATAATTGTACACACACACCACTCTTAAAAACTGTATTTTTAGGAATTGGGCTGGGGATTGAACAATTTTGTCATGAAGAGAACATTGGTTTAAGACAGAAAACAAAGCATAGGGACAAGTAAATTCATCTCTCAATGGGGAGAAGCCACACTGTAAGAGAATTTTTATTTCCATTTAAAAAATCAAATGTAAAGTAAGAAATATGAAACCTCCAGTTTTCAGAAGTCTTTTTGGGTTATTAAGTGATAATATGACTAGGGTTCACCACAGAATGGCCTTTCAAAGATCAGTGAACAGGCAAGATCCTTGGAAAAGGATCAGTGTGAAAAAGCATTTGGTTATATATTTAGGGAGAAATAATTTAAATTATACTTACAAAATAATAATATCTGAGTTTTCTATTATGTCCCAGGAAGCATACACCATCATTCTGATCAACATCATTAATCATAGGGAAATGCAAATTAAAACCACAACGAGATACCTCAGTATGTCCACTAGAAGAGCCAATATGGAACCTAGGAGTCATTACAGGTTTATTAAAAAAATTCATCTGGTTCAATTGCTGGGGCCAAAACTAAAGTGAATGTTTTGTATATTTAGGAAGGGTGTCAGAAACCAAAATGTGTGTGCAATAATGATAGTGCCAATAGTAGTGATAAAGATAATAACAATAGGGGGAAGAGAAGCTACTCTATTGTGCCTACTCAAGCGCCAAATATATATATATACACACATAAATCAAACATTATGGAGTAGAAGCAATAGGATAAAAAAACCACTAAGATAATTATTATCAAGTTCTGGATAGGGGAAAAAACAGAAAAGTCAAGACTTCTCTGTTTAGAGAGACAAAGGTATAAGGGGTTTTGATTAAAGTTTGTAAAACTCTGAAAGATTTTGGTAGGCTTCATATCAAAAAATAACCAGAGGAACTGATTCTAAAACATTGTAAGTAATAAAATAAGCATACGTATAAAGTAAAAAAGTAATTATGATAATGTGGTATTGGCATACAGAAAGACATAGAGATCAATGGAATGGAAGAGAGATTTCACACATATTTGACCTATTGATTTTCAGCAGCAGCCTTTCAATGGGGAAAAGATAATTTTTTCAACAAATGGTGCTGAAACAACTGGTTAGAGCTATGTAAAAAGATTAATTTTGACCCTTACAAACCATATACAAAAATTTACTCAGAATGGATTATAGACTTAAATATAAGGACCAAGACTATAAAATTCTCGAAGAAAACATACGAAAAATCTTAGTAATTTTGGATTACTGTGACACAAATAGAAAAACAACAAACTGAACTTCCTCAGAGTAAAATTGTTTGCTCTTCATACAATACTGTTCTGAAAATGAAAAAGGCAAGCCACAGATTGGGAAAACAGTATTTCAAAAACATATACTGGCTGCAGGACTTGTATCTAAAATATATTTTTAAAAACTCTTACAGCAACTCACTAACAAGTCAAACAGTCCAATTTAAACATGGACAATTTATACACACACACGCACTATATACATATGTATATATATATATATATGTATGTGAATAGCAAGCAGCATATGAGAAAACAATCAAAATCATTAATCATCAGGGAAATGCAAATTAAAACCACAGTGAGATATCTCTATACATCCACTAGAATGGCTAAAATGAAAAGACTGACCAAACTAAATGTTGACTAGAATATGGAAAAATTGGAACTCTGTTGGTGGGAATCTTAAATAGTTCAATCACTTCAGAAATTTAGGCAGTTCCTTTAAAACTTTAAATTACGATTACCACATTATCCAGACATACCACTCCTAAATATTTACCCAAGAGAGACAAAAGCATCTGTCTATACATAGATTTGTATATGAATGTTCATAGCAGTTTTACTTGTAATAGCCAAAAGGTAAAAAATAACTTACATGCCCATCAATAGGTAAATAACCAAATGGAGTATATCCATACAATGGAATACCTGTCAGCAAGAAATAGAAAAGAATTATTGATACATACAACAAGGTGGATGAATCTCAAAACACTTAGGCTAAGTGAAAGAACCCAAAGAAAAAGAGGATATATTATGTGATTCCATTTATATGAAATTCTAGAAAATGCAAACCAATCTGTAGTGATAGAAGGTGGATCAGTGCTTGGGGCCAGGGTTGTGCAGGCAGTGGGAATGGATTACGAAGGGCACAAGGAAACTTTTAGGGTAATGGATATGATCACCATCTTAAGTGTGGTGGTGGCTTTATGGATGTGAATGTAAGTCAAAACTCATCACATCATATACTTCAAGTATGTGCAGTTTATTGAATGTCAATTATACCTCAATAACACTGCAAAAAAAATGGGAACCTTTAGAAGCTTCTACTAGGTGATCCTTTGGACAAATGAAAGAATTACTGTATTTTACATAGTCAATAGTAAACTAAGAGAAGTTTTCACATTCAGGCTCAAACTCTAAGTACTTCAGGTATGTGAATGGGTGCGTTTTTTGTTATTAAGGGGAGCTTAGGACTGTCACTCCTTCCATCCCAACTTCTCATCCCCACTCATGCCAAAAAGGAAAAGATATCTTTTGTAACAATGGCTGCTGCCAAAGATAGAATCTTAAGTGGGATAGACAAAGGTCCATACACAAGAGGCATTTATTGTGGTTTTGTGGATTTTTTAGTTCATTGTGATGATGATATCTCCTACATAGGTTCATAGGCCAAGACTCATCATTCTATGAATTACAACCTAGAGTTACTACAAATCAAAAAATACGGTGCACTTGTCATGTTGAATTGCTGCCAATCTCCCAGCAATCTGCTGTGAACTCTCAAAAGGCCATTTCCCTAAATCTTGTTCTAGGCATGAGGATCAATGGTGCTACTGCAATCACTCCTGTATGTAGGGTCAGCATTTTCCAGGCCTACTGTGAGACTCAGTTACGGCAGATGCAGCGAGAGGGCAGAACACTTGGAGGAAGTGAGGAGACCCAGGTTCCAGCCCAGCTTTGGGACTGGCTAACCAGGACCAAGTTCAATCACTGATTCTTTCAAGGATGCTTTTCTGTCATCTGTAAGTGGATGAGATCTGAGAGGAGGAAATCGTTTCTTAAGCACTCTGAACTCTTGAGAACGAAGGTGCTATATATACATAGGTAGAACTTGATATAATATCCCTCAAACCAGAAGACTTTTGAAAGCACTATTAATAGTTAGACTGGGGCAATGGGTGTATGCAAAGGCTATCATTTTGCACCATCATTCTGAGCTCAGGCATTGTTTCCAAATGCTAGACCAGAGCAGATAAAACTTCCATTAGCCCACTGCAAACTCAGAAAAATGAGGTCTGAAATGAGTTTTATTTTTTAAAAGTATTGTGAAATAATTCATGCAAGCAAAAAATTTATAATTTATGTATAAGGTATAAAGATAAAATTAACCATTGAAGCTGCTAAAAACTTTCCCAAACACATTCCCCTCCTTCTTTCCTAGATTTTATCATTATCCTGAATTTGTGTTTGTCATTAACTTGAATTTGTGTATATCATTCTCTTTCTTTTCTTAATAGCACTTCTAAATATATGTGTATCTATACATTATTTAGTTTTGCAGATTTAAAAAAATATGTAAATGGAGTAATTGTTCAGTATATATTTATATATATATATTTTTGCCTAACATGTTATGCATTGGGACAAATACAGCATCACTTCTGCATTATTCCTACCAAATAAAGAACAATCTGAATCTAATCATAAGGAGACATCAAGAAAAGCCAAATTGCAGAATGGTCTACAAAACAACTTTCCTGTAATTTTCAAAATGGTCAAGATTATGAAAGTCAGGAAGACTAAAGAATTGTTCCAGATTGATGAAGACTAAAGAGACATAACTAAGTGCAATGTGTGTTTCAGAACTATATACTATTCGGACCACTAATGAAACTTGAATGGGAATCTGAGAAGTAGATGATAATAATGTATCAATACTAATTTTCTAATTTTGGTGGTTATATTGTGGTTAAATAGGAGAATGTTCTTGCTTATAGGAAATATAAACATGAACTTTATAGGATCTAATTTTTTTCAAATACATAAATGTTCTGGTACCATTTATTAAATAGACCATCCTTTGACCACACTGATCAATGCCACTTCTATGGTATCTCAAGTTTCCATATATATTGGGTCACTATCTGGGTATTCCATCCCATTGGCCTTTCTGTGTGTTTCAGCCATAGAATCATGTTCATTTTTCTTGAAGATTTTGGTGTAAGAAAAATTAAAAGCCACTTACAATCAATTTGTATCATGATGGGGCTCAGAATTCTGCCCCAGCCCTCCCCCTTCCTTTTATCCCACATGTTAACCACATCAAGACACTGCTTGCTTTCTGTTTCTCATACACACACCAAGCCTAGGAACCTGGATGCCATTTCTGGAGAAGCAGCCTTGCACCCCTTTGTCTTCTCAACAAACACACAGTCAGCAAGAATCTTGGCTCCTGCCTGTAGCTTTCTTATTGGTGATGTCCCCTTGGTTCTGGACCCCTCCAGGACATTCTATGCTTGGAAATAAAACACTCAGCATCTTTGAAAAGTAGTAGCCCTTGGTTAATACAGTGCTCACTGATTAGGAAAGCCTGTGAACAAGGAAAACAGACTATGAAGGCCTTTTCCGCCCTGGAGCTGTTAGGCCCCAGTGCGCAGGTGAGCTGGGGCCTTTTGGAGCCCCCTACCAGCCTAGGGGAGTAGTGCAGGTGGTCACCAGCAGCAGTGCCACCTGGGAACTTGTCAGAAATACAGCTTTTCAGGACAATTCCCCCACCTACTGAATCAGAAACTCTGGGCTTTAAGAAGCCCTGCAGGTAATTCTGATGCACTCAAGTCAGAACCACTGATCTAAGGGACTGGCGGCCTGGAGAACAGCCTCTTGCCTAGCTCTTTAGGGTACACAAAATGTGCTCAAATGTATAAAATTAAGTGTTTTCTGCAGCAAAGCCCCCAAGAGCCATCTGTGCACACAATCAGCACACGACTCATTGTAGGAGTCCCATCTCCTGAGCCCAGCTCAGATTTTTAAGCACCTGCTGGGAACCTTCCCCATTGATGTCTTCCTGGAATCTCAGACTCAGTATTGCTTCTCCCTCAACCATCGGCAGCCCCTATAGATGAATGGCATTGCCATTCCCCAGCCAGAAAACCCTGGTACCTTCTCCAAATCCTCCTCATCCTCACTCTTCACATATGGTCACCAAGTCCTAGTGATTCTAAATCTCCAACGTCCCTGCTTCTCCATGTGTAAGGGCTTTCTAGGTGTACTGCTTTTCATTAAGCACTTTTTGTATGCTACTTTATTTAATCCCCACAACAAACCTTGGAAGGCAATACTATTATCATTCCCACCTTACACGGAGGAAACTGAGGTTTAACAAGACAGAGGAGCTTTCCCAGAATGATCCAGCTGTGAAATTTCAAAGGCAGACCTTGAACTTAAATCTGTCTGAACCTAAGTCAAATTCTGAATTTTAACAGCCCCTATCTCCCAAAGGAGCTCTAAAACCAGGCCTCCATTATTAATATTTTCCTAGTGATGTTTTCTGTCTCGTACCCAGCTTCAGTTCATCCTTTATAATGCCTTCAGGGATCTTCCTAGGAAGAGTATGCATCCAACACTCTAAAATCTTCCATGAAACATCACTGCCTAAAGAACGACTCTAAACCCCTAGGGCCCACGGCCCTTCACATGCAGGCTCCACTTTCTTCCCTAATCTTGCCTCCCACTCCATTCCTCCAACCTAAATCACACACTGCACTTTGAATCTGCTAATGTTCCGTTCCTCACTAACCTCAGAGACCTTCACCAACCAACTGGACAGTGATACTCACCACTCAGATTCTCCTACTGTTTCATAAGATGGCAAATAAGGATCCCGGCAATATGTGTAAGTTGAGGAACATAATTTTATGATGGAATTAAGGAGCACCTCCCTTGGTGACCAATACATTGTATTATTTTTCACAGATACTCCATGCTGCTCCCTGGATGAGGATTATCTCTTCCCTAACCAGCTGACAGCAGACTTGGCCATTTGACTGACTTTGGCCAACAGAATCGGAGCAGAAGAGCCTTGGATCACTTCCAAGCAGAAGTTTTAAGAGCTAACGGGTGGTTCACTAAGTTCCTCACCTGCAGGAGATAGGAATGTTCCAGGTCGAGTATGCTGCGTCAGCCTGGGTCCCAAGGTAAAGATAATATGGGACGGAGCCACAGCCGCCCCACAATGGACAAACATCAAACACAAGAGATCAAACTTTGGATTGTGAACTGTGAGGCCCTCCAGGGTTTTGTTGTTGAAGTACTATCCTGATTAAAGAAACAGATTTTTTTCCCCACTCTTCTTTAAATGGGACCAGTTAGCCCTATTCTGCATCCCTGGACAAAAAAGGCAGCAGAACTGGGCCACTGTGGTGGGTATGTCCTGGCTATAGAGAAGATTCTTGACCTGACCAAGTCTTAGCCCCTCCCTGGGCAAGTGACCAGATGGGACCTCAGTCTAGCCAGGCCACAGTGTGGACAGGTGATCACTATGCCATCCATTAGCACTACATCCAGGAGATGAGCACCAGCTATGATGATGTCTTACCTGATGGGAGGGAACCAGAGGGAATGCTGTGGCCATGCCCCTTCCTTCTGGTGGGCTCCTGCTTGAGGAACTTCAGCGTTAAGAACTCAGTGTGGTCAGCTCGGGCAGCTCAGGCACTTGGGAAGAAGTTGATATGTGTTCCTTCTTCAACCTCAGCTGGCATACCCTGGAGAAGTCAGACCCAGAATGCTGAAAAAGAGACTGAGAGGGGTCTTCCCCTCACCCACTTTGGATAAAATGAGAGTTCCTGTGGCCAGGATTCTCACCAGGCCCTGGTTGACTAGATTACTGCACACCTGTGGGCAATACATGGCTGTTGACTCCATATAAAGTGCTCCACTCAGTGCTCTGGGCGTGACATGGTGGCAGGGCTGCAAGGCTGCAGGAGAGCAGAGCAGAGGCTGGAGTGGTGGCAGCGCTGAGGACAGAGGACCAGAGGACGGCTGTGTGGGACGGCTTGCAGACAGAGGGGCCCAGAGGCAGAGACTGGCTTGCTGCCTGCAGACTCATTCTGAGTGAATGGGATTCTAGTGACTGACCTCCCACCTGGAAATAAAGTTGGGTATAACCCTTTCACCCCAAGAATGTTTTGCTGTCAATTTCTTTGGTCACACTGAATCCATAGCGAACTTGCCCAGGGCTGAAATGCATTGGCAAGACACCCACATACACCTGTCTTGGTTTATGAGGCTCTCCACACAGACTGGAGTTAAGCTCAGAATAAGCTGGATGACTTCTGGCTTGGGGCAGCTATCTGCTGGCTTCCTCAGGAGGGCCCACATGTGCTTTTCACCTCTCACCCAGTCATCTCCACTGCACTTCCTGTAATAACCAACCCAGGATTGCCTGTCACAACATTGGACTTGTTCCTGAAGGTCAGCTCTAATGACACATACCCCTTTTCTTCAGATGACTGTCAGCTTTCTTCTCATTCTGAAAAGCAGTGGGCACTGTGCCACATTCAGTTCTACAGCCCATGTCCACAGCAATATCCTTGAGTAGTCACAACATTTATCATAATGGAGCAAGAACATCCCACACATCCTCTCTTATTTTTTAAACTTAGCATTGATTGACCAAAGCCAATTTAACATACAATTTCAAAGGAAGCATGACATTAGCTTTAAGCTTAGTTGCTATGAGATTACCTAATTAAAATTTCAAAATCAGAAACCTCATATTAACCTGTTTGGCTCAGTGTAAACTTTGTACCCTTAAGACAGAATTATCATGAAGACTCAGGCTTGTATTCAGTCTTTAAGGAGTGAGGAGTAAGAATAATTCTATGACAAGCACTTTAAAAAGGTATAGTATCTTCTGACCCTTAGAAAACATTCAGATCCCACAACAATGTGGGGGATTTGCATTACTGAATGCAAAAGTTCAGTATTTAGCATTACTGAACTGTACCATTAAAAACAGCTAAGATGGTAAAATTGATGTTAGGTGCTTTTTACTACAATTAAAAAAAATTCAGGTCCAGCTAGATCTATGTAATGTGCCTTGTAAGGCCCCAGGACCTCTGAACCTGCATAAATTTGGGTGAGTCAAGCTGTCAGGAACACTGCCATCTGGAGTTGTGCTGTAGCTCAGTGGAGTTCTAGCTTTGCTCCATCCGTGTATTTGTCCGCATCTCCAGCTGGGACATTCACCTCACCGGGGGTGCTCTAAGCCCCACAGCCTGTATGTGAGTTCCCTGGGGCTGCTGTAACAAATTTCCACATACCCGCTGACTTAAAACAACAGAAAATTATTCTTTCAAAGTTCTCGAGGCTGGAAGGCCAGTCCCGGCGTCAGCAGTGCTGTGCTCCTTCCTACGGCTCTAGATTGTCCACAATCCTTGGCATTCCTTGACAGATAGATGCATCACTCCAACCTCTACCTCTACCTCCGCCTTCACGTGGGCTTCTTCCCTGTATTTCTTGGTCTCCAAATCTCCCTCTCCTTACAAGGACACCGCTCACTAGACTTAGGGTGCCCCCTATTCCAGATGTTAACTCCTGCCAGACACCATTCCACATCAGGTCATGTTCATAGGTACCAGGGTTTAGGACTTGAACAATCTTTTTGTGAGACAATTCAACCCACAACAGTACAGGAATATATTTTTTTTCCAAATTTCTTTGGCCAACACAAAAATCAGAGATTTTCAAAAGGAACATAATAAAGAAAATAAAAACAAACACAAACAAACAACACCAACAATAATGCCATAGTGTCTTGCCAATGCGTTTCAGCCCCAGACAAGTTCACTGTGGATTCAATGTGACCAAAGAAATTGACAGTAAAACGTTCTTTGGGGTGAGAAGGTTTATTAACCAACTTGTTCTCCAGGTGGTAGGTCGAATACTAGCATTTCTGCCTCCGCCCAGAGCACTGGACCAAGCTCTCTATATAGCACAATAATAGCTTATTGCCTAAAGGTGTGGAAGCAGTAGCCTAGCAACAGGCCAGTTACATCATCACGTGGTTTAAGTTCAGTGAGGATCCTGGCCATAGGAACCCCAACTTCTCCACAGATAGAAAGTACAAAAGCATGAAAATGGAGAGGTTCACTCAAAGATTGCTGATGTCTGGCCATAGTTCATCTTTACTACTACTGCCCATGAAATTCCCCTGGGGAGTGCCTCCCAAAGCCTCCATTTCTGTCTCTTCCTTAGAGGGCTCCTACTCCTCCAGGCGTGGTGCCTTCCTCGATGTCTGTAGTGGTGGCTGAGCCACTCCTGAAAGGCATACAAGCCTCCATGCTTCTCCAGGAGCTCCCAGCTGCTCCACCACCTGCCTCAGCCAGAAACATAAGTGAACAACTTTCTCCCAGATGCTTATAATTATTGCCCAAGCACTGCTGTTTTAGATCCAGCACAGGACATTCATAGGCCCTTCCTCT